CTGGCAATCAGCCACCCAGACTTCTTTTCTTTTGTTGCTTCCTTCCTTCTTTTTGCTGGCCGAGTCTTGCTGGGAGAAGATGGTTTCTTCTCGGCTCCCTTGGCTGGCTCTTCTGCTTTTGTAAGCGAACAGAAATCAACTGCCTCTATATATAATTCGACCTGCCGCAGAAAACCTGCATATGTCCGAATCCTTTTCCTGATCAAATCAAACTTGAAACCATTATGCCTTAATCCTCGAAGAAACTCCGAGTAGGCAATTTCATCCGGCAGGTTCTGAATTTGTGCTTTTTCCATGTTAAACCTTTGAACATACAAATCTACCCCTCTTTCTTTCCTTGGACGATGGTCGCCAAGTTAAGACTAGTCTTCTGAGGTGGTATATTGTAGGAGAAGTTTCCAACGAACAACAAACTAAGAGTTGTGAAAATAATTGATGCATCCGGCCAACAGATTGTTGAACCAGTCTTGAGCCACACCCTTGAGAGTGGCCAGGAAGCATTTGCACCAAGTGGCATCATCCACATTTTGCAAGTACATCAAATTTCTGTACGAGGAGATATGCTCTTCTGAGTTTCCTGTACCATCATAGGCACCCACAAGTACGCTCTTCACCTTAGCTTGATAAGGAGAGTTGAGAATTTCTTGAGAAAACGGAGGCGGCTTGTCTCCAAGAGTCAACAAGCAAGCGCCTTTGCCAATCAATAAGTTGAGTTTGTGCGGTCGGTCCACCTAGGTAAGCTGCCTGAATGTACGGTTGGCCATATTTCCCGTACTGCCCGTACATTTGGGGGAGTAGATGGCAGGACAAGACCACAGTTATGGGGAACTTGAAACTGAGCTGGTTGGGATAAAAGAACGGGGGTCAGAGTACAATGATCTTGACTCCTGCTGGTCCTGACCGAGCTGGTATGCTTGGAGATGGTATGGTTTGAAATTTCATCCGGCATGCTAGGAGTGGAGGCAGTTTCCGAGTAGTAGGACTGGGCTCACTCCTGCCGCTTGTGCCGGAGATAGTCTCTAGCATCTTTCCAGCGCCAGGACGGCTCATTTGGCTTCCTCAAAGGCGGCTTGGTCTGCGCCCCTGCCGACTTCGATTTCTCAAGCAATCTCGACCAGTTCGTCCGAGGCACCCTAAGGGATCTCGGCTGCCTCCTAAACGGGGTAACTCCCACATCTTCAGTATTGGTCGCCTGGGCATGGGGCTTCTTCTTGGTTCCCTCTCCTTCTTTCCTGGGTGGGTGCCTAAAAGAAGAGGGTGACCTTCCCTCAAACTCCTTTCGGAGCTTAGCCAAAGCAGCCTACAGGGTGCCGGCCGTTATAGGAGGATCCTCCGCCTCATGGAACGAGGCGGTCAGAGGATCATTGTTGTTGATGTTTACTTCAATGTTCTCTACATGGCCGTCTTGAGGACGCCGTTATGGCGCCTTTCTCGAGATTTGGGACTCCTGATGTAAGGAGGCCTTCTCTCTTTCAGGCGCTCCTTTATTTTTCCACGTGTCATCTTCCTATTGGGAAACGTGTTTCCCTTTTTACTGGGCCATGTGTCACTGACTATTGTAATTTTGAAAAGCCTTTTAAAAAATTTATCGATTGCACCTCTAAAACAGTAGCAACCAAGAGCAACACTCGGGCTACTCACTAGTTATAGGTTTTAAAGGCGGTGCCGCCAAAGGTGGTGGTGGTCAAGACAAAACACAAGAGAAGGGGGAGGGGGAAAACCTTGAATGAAATAGGGAAGAGAAGAGAGAGAATTTTTAGGGGGCCCTTGAAATAATATTGGATAAAGTGGGCGATCATGAAATACGATATTTATAATTCTCTCAAATTACAAATGTGTCATTAATGATTATTGATTAACAAGTTTGCTCCTCTCTCACTCACATTAGGTAACAAAAGTTTTATTCAAATAGAATTCTGTCAAAAGTAAACTTTCTTTATATTACATTCACCATACAAAATATTTTAGCCTCTCTTAAAATCAAAAAATAATTTAATATAGCCTTGAAAAATGCTTTATACAAATTATATACTTATTAATTTATGAAATACATAAAAAAAATACTGAGTATTGCAATGCTTGAGGCGGTTGGCATACCACAACTAATGGTTAAGTGTGAAAAGTAATGACAATGCTTCAAATAAAAGGTTTTGAAAATTGAATAAGTTTGTTTGACCTAAAAATTTATGTGGGTTTTGGAAACGGACTTGAAAGAGTTTCGAAAGATGTCTAATCTTAGCTACATCTATGCTCATGCTCTAGAATGAACAAACAAAGCATACATTGGTCTCATCATGAAAGTTATTAGGAATTTCCAAATTATTTCTGTATTTTATTTCAACTATATTATGTGGTAGACATTTTTTTTAACTTGTATCTAAGTTGATTATTTGTGCCATTATTAACTTGTGTGTTAAATTATATGAATTAAGAGAGCTTTGAACTTCATTTCTAGTTTGGTTGACCAAATAAAAAAGGAAAGAAAATTATTCTACATGACTACACATATATATCTCCGTCTATTTTGAAATTATGACTTTCAGTATATTTTAAAACCAAGAGTTTTGAGATTTCTCCTTGTTATACTTTAATTTAAAATGTTAGTTATCGTATTTTGTCTATTAAAAATCATCTAAAAAAGCCTAATAAACTTCATTAGTAAAGCATTCCAAATTAGATAATTTTTTAAAAATTCCATAATTTTTTCCATACTTAGCACCAAAAACTCAATAAGACCAATCCATTAATGATGTTTTGGGCAAATCTCGGAAAGGATTCCTCGAATTTGCTTTTAGGATTGAGGGGTTTAAAAATTAAATCTGCTAAAAGAAAATAAACACAATCTCCAAAAGAGCAAGTTAAGAGAAATAATTAATTGAACGATAATAGCGATAATAACTATAAATTAAAGAACAAATTACGGAGTAAGAGAGGCAATTCTGAGTATGGTTGAGTAATGACGAATAATATCAAAGATTTTAGTATGAAGGTGCTGTAAATTGTATTCGACAACGTTCAAATGAGTTCTACTACAAAGAGTATGCTTATTCACATTGACTTGTAAATCTAATATAGGTAATTATTGAAGAATCTTTATTGGTTTGGTAATGTTGAGAAATTGATTGACATTTTCATTAGTTAGGAAATGTTGACTTAGTTGATTGATATCTCCTTGATTCGCTTCTTAAATTAAGGGACGTGATTATGCTTGCAGCCCAAGCATTCATTGCATGTTATCAAATGTACGAGCTTAGATCAAAGGGAAGTTGACAAACTTAGAAAGGCTTAGCGGGGTGGTTGATGAAATCAGAAACGTGCAGTTGAATTCTAATACCTTGATTGCAGGGGCGGAATCAGGGGGGGCTGGTGTAGGCCATGGCACCCCCATGATTCTCTATAAAAATAAATTTTGCCTATTATGTTAGAATAAGTTTGACAGTCTAGTTGGTTTAGCATGTGAGATTCCAATCAATGTGACTAGATTCGAGGATTGCTGCACACTTTTTTTTCCCTTTCCTTTCTATTGACATCACATATCAGCACAACAAGACAATAGTACAATGCTACCTAAAGTATATTGCACGTATGTTAAAGTATATTGCATGTATGTTAGAATTCATTTTATTTTCAATAAATTTATAGCCAAGTCTTTAATTTTTTTTTTATATTGTCTAATAATAAATTGAAAGTAATAAATAAAAAATAAAAATAAAAAGATATTTGATTATTAAAAAAAATGATCTTGGCCCCCCTAATATTAAATTTCTACTTCCGCCATTACTTGATTGATTCGGTGAACTCCTTGATTGGTTCAATCAAATCCATGATTGATGAGCTATGATTCTACTGAATATTCTTTGATATCTTTGACCATGCATCTTTTCTTTTTCAACTCTTTTTCTTATTTTGTGCAAGTATTCTTTAATTGATCGTTTGAATCTTTTCCTAATTTGTAGGCTTCTAAGAATCTAATTCCAACAAGTGAGGTGAGTAAATGGTGAATATGAAAATGGAAAATGTGGAATTTGGTTTGTTTGACATTAAAGTATTGGGAAAGAAATTGGCACAAATAACTTTACAAAAGTAGGGCTAGCCGTTTGAAGAGAATAAGAAAGTTTTTGAAACACCTTTGAATACATGAAGATTAATAAGGAAGGGAGTAACAAAATTTTATAGGGAGTTAGCTCTATGTGTAAATGATTAGAATAAGGTAGGGATATACAATACCATATAAACCTACGGTTTTTAGATAAAGGATATCTTTAAAGTTATGTGAAAACCCTTTTTAGAAATGATTTCTATGGTTCTTACAATCATCTCACTCGGTTGATTATAATTTAAATTTAATCTACTGGATGCAAAGAAGATCCGTTCTTTCTAAAGACGGGCATCGGCCGTGCTCTGCAAGCCCACATGTTGTGCTCGCGTTCCTCATGCCCAAGCGGGCCATGCCTAGAACAAGCCAAGAAAAAGTCGTGCTATGCCGGACTCATGTCAATCATTCATAAATGGAGCCTATGCACAACTCGGCCCGTATGTCATGTCATGCCAACGACTCACCTAATAATTTATACTTCCTTTGCTTTCTTTTAAATGCAAATTTTGGCATGCTTTTTTAGAAGCTAATTAGAATAGATAAACAAGCGATATTATCAAAATAATTTTGAATAATTTGTCCGTTTATATTGCTTAATTTCTTCTTCAAAATGTGTGCCAAGAAGGTGTGTTGCATTTAAATGAAAATGGAGGAAGTATATATTTTGCTTAAATTGGTCAAAAATAAGTGTGCCGATACGGGCTGGCCCATCATGTTCGTGCCGGGTTCATGTCAAATTTTGAAAATGAAGCCCATGCACTGTCCATGGCCCACATGTGTGTCTCTCGTGTTGTGTCGGGCATATAATAGGTTCTTTTCGGGTCGGGTTATTTTCGTGCCAACTCGACCCATTTCCATCTCTAGTTCTTTCCTATTGATGGAATAAAACGAAGGAAAACCAAGCTCCACCTCAAACACAATAATTCATAATTAGTCAATCGAAGATTATGGTTTACAAGGATTATAGAGCTTTAGACTATTAATTACATTTTTTTTTTCTTAATCCTGTTCCAAATAAATTATGATTTCTGCAGCAAATTTTCAAAATACAAGTTCAAAATGTGTCTTCCAGTAGATAGAACATCAAGCCTCTTCTCGCTGGGTTCGTATTTTCCCTTTCGGAGGTGATACCTGTGCGTAACGGCTGAGATTGTGTAAGTTTGTCCTTCAATAGTCACACTCTCTCCACACTGAAGGTTCTGTTAGAAGACAACATAATGACAATGATAAGATGCCACAATACAAGAAATCCAATCATGCACAACATTCATTCAATCATGACAGTCCAAGTATGTGGCTCTAAACATATTTAAAAAAACATGACAGATAAGTATTTTAACTTCTGCTAGTCTACCAGTAAAGAAGAAACATATCATTGATGCCTTTTTCATTTACAGATATTCATGCAGAGCTAACTACAGACAACCCCACCACCCTTTTCCCTTTCCGGCCACCCCCGAAAGCGAATTTTCAGACACGATAAATTTTTCAAAAATAAAGATAACAGATCTGCTCTGCTCTGCTTAGTGTCTGAGCCAGTACCACAAGTCACATATTGCCTAAGGCAACAATGACCCCGCTCCAATATAATTTTGGTGATTTAACATTCGATGGCATATCTAAACAAAGAAGTTTAGTAATGTTTGTTGATTGTGTAAGGGCAATCCATCTTGATGAAGAAGACAACTGCGCTAACACCTCAAACAGGTATAGGAGTAACAACTCCGCAAATTACAATAATGCTCAGACACTTCAATAATTGGTCATTGAATAAGGGCTTGGGGAAGGAAGGGACCAAACTACCGAATTTATTAAAATACCAATCATGAAGCTCTCTCACCCAGAATGAAGAAGCAAACAAATATACCATTTTTCATGTATGCATTTTCCACACGTCCAATTTTCTTTGACATTATCCTGTTCCATGGCGTGTATCCAACTCATCCATCTCCATTTCAATGCAATTTAGTCCTAAGGCAACCCCACGTGTCAACATAAAAGCTCCTCCCCCTTGAACATTTGAAATCGAGAAGATTTTGAAAGGAAATTTATCTCTCCCCATTCCTAAATTAATCCAAATTCAACGATCTTTTCTTCTTTTGTTGAGAACGGAGATCCTAATCATAATGGGCTCTTGTTTAAAGGATTGTAGCAACTAGCAAATAGTGCTCTGATTCAACACAACTTGAGGAATACAGCTTATTGATTTCCACTTAGAAGAGTATTTTTAGATTGATAACTGCAAACCAGGTCTTGGATAAGCCTAATCATGGAGAATTTAATTTGACAAAGCTGCTCTTTGCTGAAAGAATTTAGATGACCTAAGCCCATTGCCTTTTTGCTGCTGGACACTCAGAGAAATAGCTCCTAAACTTCGGGAGAAGAATTGCCCAATCACAAAGTGCTTGATACATGACTGTCAAAATCAGAAGTCTTGGCCTTAACCCCAAAGTAAAAGATTACTTGTACCCTTTCTTTCTTCAACATATATTATTAGGAAGTAAAGGTGCACTATCAACGCACCAAAAACCAACAGTTTTCATATCCATACCAGAGTCTTCGATAAATAAGACCTCAATCCTAAGTTCGAGGAGTTTTTATGTCTGATAAACTCAGTTTCACAAAATAAGTTAGACTATTGAATTTGTAGTTTTTCTTCAAAATGATTTTGTGTGCTTGAAATGTAGACTACCAATCTCCAGAATATAGATAAATAAGTCACCAAGACTTACCAAGGAAATGGAAATGTTCCTCTTACCGAGTGAAGTCCCAATGTAGACATCACAGCGAGATTGTATTGCATTCTCATGCCCCTATTCCTCAAATCCACTATGAGAGAGAATATCCTCATTCATCTTACCAATAAAAAAGAACGATATTCCTTTAGCATTGCATACTGCAAGATCTATACTATGGGGCTGCTATAGCACATTAATACAATCAGCAACATTTTGCTCCCTTTTGTGCTTTCAACTTCTGTGTATAGTAAACTTGGCAACATTAATAATTAAATTACTATTACATCATTTACATGAGCAACAGACCTTCATCGTCTAAACTAAAAATCATTATTCCATATAAAATAAAGTGCACGATGATCAGGATTTTACTAGAAGCTAATAATACAAAACAGCACACTGCACACCAGTCATGAAATTCAAGAATATGTCCCACAAAGGCTCCCCAAGAAAAAGATCAAAGGGTGACAAAATGTCAATTTATCGGATAAGAATTACAGAACAGAGAGTATTTGGGGCAATACACTATCCCACTACAAAACCGATGAAATAGAAAAACATGCAGCCCTCTAAAAATTTATTACTAAAAAACAAACAAAATTGGTTTGCAAAACCCCCAAATAAGCACGAAGAAGCCTTCTAGAATCTGGACCTCTCATAGCGTTGAAAAGTCCAGTACTCCAGCGCAATACAAAGCAAAACACTAAGCATGGATAAACCAGAAAATCCTCTTTAATATCCAGTCATACTAGTGGTAAGTATCAGAGCTTGGAGGGACCAACAGAGTAACAATACTAATATCCAATTAGGTAAGTAACTGAAGCCTAATGAAAATTGCAACAATTTGAAAGCATAAAATATAGATATCAAACAATGCAGTCTTACAGTAGCAAAACATCAACTCTCAAGTTCTAAAATATCCTTTGAAAGACTCTTAAATTCTTAACAATTGAAAATATTCCCTAATGAAGTTGTAGTGTAATAGCTGAGACTATGGTCCCCTATATCACACAATAATGTTCATAACAATCTTTACCCTCGTACTTACCTCATTAGATTATTTAAGAAAACTTCCTAATAACAAAAACACCGCTAGTGGGTCTCCCGTTGCCAGTCCCAAGCCTGGATAAAGGAGGAGGGTTTCGGTAGGCCACTAACAGCCAGTGTAAAACTTTGTCACATCCCATGAAATGAGCCAAACTGATATTTTCGTGGGAGTGTTCCCAACTCAGCGACGCGCTGCACTTCCTAGACCCGGGTGTAGTGATAAGTATGCAAGGGTTGCTAAGTCGTCGCCCGGAAGCGACGCGCCACATTGCCCAAGTGTGGTGTCAAATGATCAAGGGCATGCCAGATGGCGTTCCCTACTGAGCGATGCGCTGTACTTCACAGACGCGGGTGCAATGATAAGTATGCAAGGGTTGCTAGGTCGTCGCCCGGAAGCGACGCGCCACATTGCCCAAGTGTTGTGTCAAATGATCAAGGGCATGCTAGATGGCGTTCCCTACTGAGCGATGCGCTGTACTTCAAAGACGCGGGTGCAGTGATAAGTATGCAAGGGTTGCTAGGTCGTCGCCTGGAAGCGACGCGCCACATTGCCCAAGTGTGGTGTCAAATGATCAAGGGCATGCCAGATGGCGTTCCCTACTGAGCGATGCGCTGTACTTCACAGACGCGGGTGCAGTGACAAGTATGCAAGGGTTTCTAGGTCATCGCTCAGAAGCAACGCGCCACATTACCCAAGTGTGGTGTCACATGATCAAGGGCATGCCAGATGGCGTTCCCTACTGAGCGATGCGCTGTACTTCACAGACGCGGGTGCAGTGATAAGTATGCAAGGGTTGCTAGGTCGTCGCCCGGAAGCGACGCGCCACATTGCCCAAGTGTTGTGTCAAATGATCAAGGGCATGCTAGATGGCGTTCCCTACTGAGCGATGCGCTGTACTTCAAAGACGCGGGTGCAGTGATAAGTATGCAAAGGTTGTTAGGTCGTCGCCTGGAAGCGACGCGCCACATTGCCCAAGTGTGGTGTCAAATGATCAAGGGCATGCCAGATGGCGTTCCCTACTAAGCGATGCGCTGTACTTCACAGACGCGGGTGCAGTGATAAGTATGCAAGGGTTGCTAGGTCATCGCTCAGAAGCAACGCGCCACATTGCCCAAGTGTGGTGTCAAATGATCAAGGGCTTGCAGGTGGGGGCACGAGGGAGCGTGGTACTAGTGAGCGTGGTAGGAAGCAGGGGTGTGGATAAACAGGACCGGACTTGATCCAAACCTGTAGATTCAGGTCCGGTCCCGCTCTTTGAAATTCAAGGTTTCCGGTTCCAGTCCGGATTAGGTCCAAAACCAGGGTTTTTAGGTCCGGACCTGAAACCCGGAATATATAATTTTTTTTTTTTTTTTTTTTTTTTTTTTTTTTTGTTATATGAAATATGAAACCCTAAAATACACATACTCCAAGTCTCCAAGGAAACAACCGTTTCTCTCTCCCCAACACTCAAGTAAGTTGTTTCTCTCTCCTCTCCATTTTTCTTCTTCTTCTCCAAGTTCTCCAATAGTCTCATTATTCTTCTTCTTCTCCAACAGTCAAGCAGCGAGGTCCGAAACCACTCGGGATATCCTCCTGGGTATGGCCTCGGCCGCTTTCGCTTCGGATCTGAATATTCCAATCACAAATTTATCAATCACTTAGTATAATTAGCAATTCAAAAATCAGTTTTATAAGAAGGTGATGAAGAAACGATTGAAAAAACTTACTAACAGTGGTTAAAGGAGGTGCAGTTGAAGATGAAGTAGAAGGATTGCTGTTATTAGTTTATTACTAACTCTATTTAATTTTTCTATGTATTTTTTCGTTTTTTTAGTATTATTATCTGGTGCTTGTTGTTTTTTTGTTGTTTTGTCGTTGTTTTGAATTTTAGGGTTTTGTTGGAATTTGTCGGAACTCAATAATTCTTGCGATTATTCAATCAATTTTCCTCAATGTCGTTAGTCATTGCATCGAACCACCAGCGTCCGTCAATTGTTGCACCGGTACCTCTACCGTAACAGAGTAATAAGAAAGCAAACTGGATTGTAGATTAAGTAATTTTGTTATAATAAATGGATAGGAATAAGTGAAATTAAATTAAGTGAAAATACAAAATAGGTCTGTTTAGGTCCAAACCCGGACCGGACCTGGTTTATCAGGTCTGACCCGGAACCGAACCTGTTGAATCAGATCCGGTCTCCGGTCCTCAAATTTCACTAATTCGGGTCCCGGTCCCAACAGGTCCGGTCCGGTTTTGGACCGGTGCACAGCCTTAGTAGGAAGGAGCGGATGCGGAAGGACTCTAGTTTGCGGATTGGTTCTTGAAATGTGGGGTCTTCTACGGGAAAATCAGCAGAAGTGGTAGAAGTAATGAAGAGAAGACGGGGTAAACATTATGTGCCTCCAAGAGACAAGGTGGATAGGAGAAGGA